GTGAGGTCACAGGAAATTAGAGGGTAGGCAACACAGTATCTCCCCCCTCCCCATTTCTCGCCCCATAACCCCCCCCCCCCTACCCCCCACTTCTTGCCCCATACCCCCCCCCCCCCCTCCAGCAGTAACGAGGAGCAGAGAGGCGTGACCACCAAAGCACCGTGGAATGTGCCCAAATGCTTCCTACCCAACAGGACTTGCGCCTTACAGTGTGTACGGGCAAGGGAGGTCTAGCTCCCTAGCCCTGGCTCTACCTCGCGTTTTAGACATTAACTTTCTCGATTATTTAATCCTTCGTCGAATCTGGTTATGAAAAATGGGGGACGGAGCGTCAGTCTTCGACTCATTTGAGTTTCCAGCTTCCACTCGCGTCCTCTTGTCCTACTTTCTCTAGATTTAAAGAGGCTGTCATTGGTCATTTTGCCACGACCTTCTGCCCCTTGCCACGACCTTCTGCCCCTTGCCACGACCTTCTGCCCCTTGCCACGACCTTCTGCCCCTTGCCACGACCTTCTGCCCCTTGCCACGACCTTCTGCCCCTTGCCACGACCTTCTGCCCCTTGCCACGACCTTCTGCCCCTTGCCACGACCTTCTGCCCCTTGCCACGACCTACTGCCCCTTGCCACGACCTTCTGCCCCTTGCCACGACCTTCTGCCCCTTGCCACGACCTTCTGCCCCTTGCCACGACCTTCTGCCCCTTGCCACGACCTTCTGCCCCTTGCCACGACCCGCCCCCCCCCCTCCCTTGCAAGATGCTTGCTACTCACAGTTCCTGCTGGAGCGTCGCCAGTGAGTGGTTCGCTTCTCCGGACAAATACTAACATTTGCCTGCTCAAGTGTACTTTAAGACTTATCACTCCAGCCTAAACCCCTTGACACAAGTCTTACCCCGCGCTACAGGCTGTAATGTTGATTGAACACACATACATGGTCTTTAAGCTCTTCAGTGGTGTCACCCCCCCCCCCCCCGCCCAGGAGGCCTGGTCGACGACCGGGCCGCGGGGACGCTAAGCCCCGGAAGCACCTCAAGGTATCCATTTTCATGGCATAATATTAACTTGTGTAGTATTTTTAAATCACACTTCCCCCCCCCTCATTTGAGCAGGTGTTAATAGCTTTGTTTAAGCTGATTAAGCTGGAAAGAGGTAAGCAATAAACGCTAAAGTGTATATATATACTGGGTAATACAATGTTATTTATGTATGGCTCTTGGTGCATATTGTATATCCGCTAGAAGAGCTTTTATATGTTACAATAATATCCTGAGTATAGAACGAGAGTCACGAGCAAAAAAAGCTGTTTTAATTCTTAAATATGGAGGATTAACGAGCGTTTAGCCAATGTATTAGAGACGTTGTAATTAACGACCATTTGGGTTGTCGGGTTGAGTTTTCGTGGGTGTAAACCCACCCCCATCCTCCTCTTAGTGTGACGACCCAGTACAGCCAAGGACGGGTGAGTAAGACAGTGTATCATTCAGATAAACGCACTCACTCACTCACTCACTCACTCACTCACTCACTCACTCACTCACTCACTCACTCACTCACTCACTCACTCACTCACACTTGTTCTTCAAGACGATATCCGGCCAGGTCGTCAAACTCATGCTTATCATGCTGCAAAAAAAATGACAACAGAGACCCGCCACACAACAGAGACCCGCCACACAACAGAGACCCGCCACACACAACAGAGACCCGCCACACAACAGAGACCCGCCACACAACAGAGACCCCCGCCACACAACAGAGACCCCCGCCACACAACAGAGACCCGCCACACAACAGAGACCCGCCACACAACAGAGACCCGCCACACAACAGAGACCCGCCACACAACAGAGACCCCCGCCACATAACAGAGACCTCCGCCACACAACAGAGACCCCCGCCACACAACAGAGACCTCCGCCACACAACAGAGACCCCCGCCACACAACAGAGACCTCCGCCACACAACAGAGACCCCCGCCACACAACAGAGACCCCCGCCACACAACAGAGACCCGCCACACAACAGAGACCCGCCACACAACAGAGACCCCCGCCACACAACAGAGACCCCCGCCACACAACAGAGACCCGCCACACAACAGAGACCCGCCACACAACAGAGACCCCCGCCACACAACAGAGACCTCCGCCACACAACAGAGACCCCCGCCACACAACAGAGACCTCCGCCACACAATAGAGACCCCCGCCACACAACAGAGACCTCCGCCACACAACAGAGACCCGCCACACAACAGAGACCCCCGCCACACAACAGAGACCCCCGCCACACAACAGAGACCCCCGCCACACAACAGAGACCCGCCACACAACAGAGACCCGCCACACAACAGAGACCCCCGCCACACAACAGAGACCTCCGCCACACAACAGAGACCCCCGCCACACAACAGAGACCCCCGCCACACAACAGAGACCTCCGCCACACAACAGAGACCCGCCACACAACAGAGACCCCCGCCACACAACAGAGACCCCCGCCACACAACAGAGACCCGCCACACACAACAGAGACCCCCGCCACACAACAGAGACCCGCCACACACAACAGAGACCCCCGCCACACACAACAGAGACCCCCGCCACACACAACAGAGACCCCCGCCACACACAACAGAGACCCCCGCCACACACAACAGAGACCCGCCACACAACAGAGACCCCCGCCACACAACAGAGACCCGCCACACAACAGAGACCCCCGCCACACACAACAGAGACCCCCGCCACACAACAGAGACCCGCCACACACAACAGAGACCCGCCACACACAACAGAGACCCGCCACACACAACAGAGACCCGCCACACAACAGAGACCCGCCACACAACAGAGACCCGCCACACAACAGAGAACAATTACCAGAGGGAGAGAGAGCGTGTACGAAACGTCGGACATCATTCGTGGTGCTCAAGATGTATCACAAGCTGCGGGAAGAGATGTAATTGTCTTGGTGACAAGACTGGAGAAATACAATGTTCCACGGTGGTTGGAAACCTCTGATGGAGAACGTCTCTCCATCCCCCCACTCCTCTCCTTCTACATCATCTTCTCATCATCATCATTCTCCTCCTTCACAATGTTCATCTACCCGCAGACACACACACACACACAGGCAAAACGCAAATAGCCGTTCCGCGCCATGTAAGGGTTTAAAAGCGCCCTCAGCCGGGACCCTCATTAACACACTGAGCAGATCGTGAGCAACCAATTTAGTGAGAAACTTTAACCCCTGATTGTCCCTTATGACCTCTGGCGGCTCAGTGCTGACTCCCACTGACCTCTGACCCCTACAAGACTTAATAAAAACGAAAGGAATCGACGGTTCTTGCCGGCATGGATTCTTGGACAACTAGTTCTTGAAGCCGGATTGCCGTTACTTCATCCGCTGGGGGGGAACCTGACCCGGAGCGGGAATACCGTACTTGATCACGAACGAAACGGAAAGTGTAATGAAGCAAGCGATAGTGGGCGAGGGGGGGTCGGCTTGAGGCGAGGCGCATGTCTCTGTGTTGACAAGTGACAACTGGAGGCCAGAGTGTTGTACTGTGGTGAGGTCTCGGTGGTGCGCCACCACTGTCAACACACCACCACCAACAACAGTACCATCACCACTACTCCCACCACCACCACCAACAGTACCACCACCACTACCACTACCAACAACAACAACAGTACCACTACCACCACCAACAACAATAATAGCACCATCATTACCAGTATTTCCAACAACAGTAGCAGCAGAGAACCAGCAACATCACCGCCACCAACACCACCATTATGGTGCACGAACACCACTGACACCACCAGTATGCAGAGCACCGCCAAAGGTATTCGCCATCCCCAATGAAGCAAACCCACATGCACTCACAGTCACCACGCACTCACAGTCAGCATGCACTCACAGTCAGCACGCACTCACAGTCAGCACACACTCACAGTCAGCACGGACAAGGATCGTGGCGCTTCAACTAAATTGAGCTCATATATCCAACTCATCGAAACTTTCAAAATACAGAATAATATATAGTATACTGATCCAGACAACTTCTTCAAAAGGTCGGATGTAACACAAACAGGGAACAACGGTTTCAAACTCAACAAGTCTCAATATAGGATAGAAAACAGATGACGCTTTTTCACCCATAGCGATATAAACCCACGGAACCGCCTACCCGCTGAAGCCGTAAAGGCCAAAACACTGCTGAATCGTAAAATCCAGCTCAGTAAAATAACTTGAGGGAGGCAAATGAGGTGACCTTTGACAAGCCGCCAGCTTCCTGTCCTCGTTGAGGCCACTAGCATTTATTACAAGGTGAACAGATGCATCAGATGCCAGGTCAACGTCCCTATATGCCCCGCCCTCTCCAAGAAACGAACCCAGGACCAATAGGCTATGAGGCGACATAGACAAAAATCACACCAACTACGACTGCAAAGACCATTACATCAGCTATTACTGATTGTACTGCTAGTACCTATTAAACTATTACTAGTATTGTCCGAATTGCTACTTCAAGCATTAGTTAGAATGCAACTATTAAGATTTGTACAGCTGGCTGATATCACTACTAATTCTGTTTTAGTCCCTCCTTGAATGAGTGTAAAAGAAAACTTGACACCACCGTTTTCTTTGATTAAGATATTAGCCAGCTTTTTAAACAATATATTATACAAATTAATACCCTTCTAGTATTTAATTTTAATTTATATTTATAAACAAATCGTTAAAATCTAGAATTATAATCATAACTTTTTTCTTTACATATAATATACATAAATAAATAATGTTTTCCTTATAATGAAAGAGAACGTATTACTGGAGGATAGACTAGTGTATTTGTGACATTGTATCGCAGACTATTTGAAACCTGCGAAGTTTTTAAAAGTCTTTCACTTTAAACTGTGTGTGTGTGTGTGTGTGTGGGTGGGTGGTTATAATTTCTGCACAGCTAAAGCAACAACTCGACACTTGACTTACCTGAGGTGGTCGCTAGAGTGCTCCTGACGGAGGGCTCTCATCACCAGCAGGAGCTCCTTCTCGTTCTCACACTCCACCAGGTTCTCTACCTCCTCTTCTTCCTCCACCTCCACCGTCACGTCGTCGCTCAGGTTCATCTCCCGCCTGATGAGGTCCCCCAAGTCAGGCCTGAGACGCCTCTGCCTTGAGCACTGGCCGATTGTTAAGCTCGCTTTAGAGCCGCCCGTTTCAAGCTGAACGGACGGAACGGCTAAGCCCTCCATGTCAACCTCATCGGAAACGTCCAAGCTCATCGCCTCAGCCGAGGTACCCTCTCCGCTCTCGTCAGCAATATCGTCGTATAAGGCAGTCAGATCACCTTCAGTCGTGTCTAGATCGCCGCTGTCTTCCTCTGGAACGATTGGCAGAGCTCGACTTACTTCGCGTCTTAAGCTCCGAGCGACGTTGAAGTCTCGAGGTCCTCTGCTCCTGGGATCTGCCGGAGTGTCGAGAGGGTAGCACTCATCGTACAGGTCTTCGTAAAGACCTTCTTCTTCTGCGACGCCAGGAAGCTTAGGAGCTCTTCCCGGCAGGAGGGGCTCTGTAGGAGAGGTCTTTGGTGAGGAACAGGAGAGGAAGCCCTCCTCCTCCTCCTCCTCCGGTATTCCAGCGATGTTGTCTTGTACATATGTCTCTTCTGCCTTGGCGTTGCTGACAGCTGTTTGCTGGTTGTCATTTCTCTCACAGCTGTCATCCAGTGATTCACTTATTAACATTTCACTGTCATCATAATCTGTGCTCACTTCACCTTCGGTGCTGTAGTCCCCTTTCATGCTGTCGTCAGTCTTTTCACTGATGTCGTCAACCATTTCACTGGCGTCGTCAGCCTTTTCACTGATGTCGTCAGACTTTTCACTGATGTCGTCAGACTTTTCACTGATGTCAACCTTTTCACTGACGTCAGCCTTTTCACTGATGTCAACCTTTTCACTGACGTCAGCCTTTTCACTGATGTCAACCTTTTCACTGACGTCGTCATCAACCTTTTCACTGACGTCGTCATCAACCTTTTCACTGACGTCAACCTTTTCACTGATATCGTCAACCTTTTCACTGACGTCGTCAGCCTTTTCACTGATGTCAACCTTTTCACTGACGTCGTCAACCTTTTCGCTGATGTCAACCTTTTCACTGACGTCGTCAGCCTTTTCACTGATGTCAACCATTTCACTGACGTCGTCAACCTTTTCACTGACGTCGTCAACCATTTCACTGACGTCGTCAACCTTTTCACTGACGTCGTCAACCATTTCACTGACGTCGTCAACCTTTTCACTGACGTCGTCAACCATTTCACTGACGTCGTCAACCTTTTCACTGATGTCAACCTTTTCACTGACGTCGTCAACCATTTCACTGACGTCGTCAACCTTTTCAGCGATGTCGTCAACCTTTTCATTGACGTCGTCAGCCTTATCACTGACGTCGTCATCAACCTTTTCACTGACGTCGTCATCAACCTTTTCACTGACGTCGCCAACCGTTTCACTGTAGCCGTCAGTCCTCTCACTGCTGTCAGCTTCCATTATGTTATCAACCAGTGGAGTGCCATTAATATTTGTACCATTATCTCGTCCTGTAACACTAATAAGCCCTGAATTGTAAGTTAGTTTTGTACTTTCAACTGTCCTCTCATCAAACTCATCATCAACACTCGCATCAATGTCTGTACTTACGTCAACTTCTCCACTATCATCGGGGCTTTTGCTTCCATCAAGTTCACTAACTTCCACATCAATGCCATTATCCATTTCTCCTTTATTCGATAATTCCCTCACCGAGCCTGTTTCGAGGTCCTCGTTCTCCAGACTCTGACAAATCGCTATGGTTTCTGTGTCTACTGTATCGTCCAGGGCGTGGTGAACCTGAGCCCGGGTCTCGATACAGTTCTGGGAGGTTGAAAATATGTAATCGTCCGAGAGACACGGGCTACCACCGCCTGCCGAGCTCGCTGTAGCCTCTGACAATGAAGACTCCTGCTGCAAACTTTCTGAATTGTGATCACTTGTGCATAACTCGATAACTTCGGGCGGAGTTGTCACACTCCTGGGGGAAGTTTCTGCTTGGATGACAACCCTTTCACCAGCGCCAAGCGATTTGTATTCCTCTTGAACAGTGTCTGGGAGTTCAGAGTTCACGTCTCCCGCAACACCGGTGTAAAAGCTCTTGTCGGGAAATTTATCGAGCACATCAGGGCCGGGCGGGGAATCTAAGATCAACAAATATTCCGGGGAATGCTTTGGTTGTTTGACCTGCGCCAGAAAGGGCAAAGTTAGCTCTTCCTTGGCCACCTTCGTTGTCACTTCTCTCTCCGACACGTTACTAGTTACGGCTGTGGTTTCGTTATGAAGATTTTGATTGGCTGCTTCTGCTATCAGATCAATGTAATTATCCGAATCATCGTGAATGGTGTCGTTGTCTGGGTGTGAGATCCTCTCTCTAATGCCCATACCCGTCTCCACGCCCATGCTGGAGGTGACCGTGGGAGGGGACTCGCTCTGGCGGGTTCCACTGTCGATGGAGCGAGGGGGTGGAGGCGGCGCAGGCCTCTTTCCGGGCTTTTTGATCGACAGAAACGTGTCGGAGCGGCTAACCCCTCTGTCGCTGGCACTCTTCCCTTGCTGCCATGAAAACGGACGTCCTTTCAGGCTGAATGAGAATGATTTAATGGATGGACGCATTTTGATCTTTGACGACGAGGTCTTGCGAGAGACAGCAGCGTGCTGCTCGACCTCAGGAATAGAGGATTCTGCCGTGGTAGGTTTAGTGCTGCGATCTATCGGTGGCGCTGGCATCACCTCATCCCGTGGAGCCGTGGCAGGAGTCTGCTGCTGCTGCTGTGTATCAGTCTCCAACTCCTTCTCCAGCTGCTCGAAGGGACTCAGTGCTCGAGCCAAGTCAAACCTAGAGGCATCGGCAGAGGCATTAAACGAGGAATTTCTAGACACATTGGTGGATGAACATAACGAGAGTCGATCAATGACAGTCGACACCGAGCTGCTGGTCTCGTCGCTCTCACTCCCACACGGGCCCATCGCGTCCTCCTCCCCAACAAGGTCCACGTAGAAGGTGGGTCGTGGAGGTAGACCTCCATCCATGGACTCGTCCACCCTCCTAGTGGTCCACGTCCGAGGCAGGTGAAATTCCAGGTCCTCCAGCAACTCCTCCAGGTCACTGGGACGAGTTCGACGCGACAAAACATACTCCCGCCACCCGTGCATAGAATGTTCCACATCCTCGGAATTTCCAGACGTCGGGTACATGCCCCGAGCCATTTTTTCACCCGACTCGTCATACAGGTCCTGGAAAGCACTTGGCGGTGGAGGTACGGGTGTAGGATCCTTAGGCGGCCGTGCTGGGGATTTTCTGGGCCGTGCCCTAGGAGGGAGAGGAGGTGGTGGGAGTCGTTTCCTCATCTCGCCAACAATGAGAGGCGGAGGGCGTGAGGAGTCCTCGTTATCGTCCTCGGCCTCCGCTTCTTCCTGTCCCTCCTCCTTTACGTACTCCGGAGCCTCCGAGGTGCACATGTCGAAGTCCGGAAGCTGTCCATTTCCCTTGTGCACGCCGATTGTGATCTTCATGGCGGCGTCCTTCAGGAAGGACACGCACTGCACTCTGGTCATGGAGGACACAGCCCAGCCCTCGATATTAAGGATCTGATCGCCAGGCTGCAGCTCGCCCCAGGGAACAGCAGCGCGTGCTGCCGGCGAGTCCGGCGCGACACTCTGTATGAAAAGCCGCCGCACGCGTTCTCGCGCCCCCATTCCGCCGTCGAATTTGAGCCCCAGACCAAGCCGCTCCCCCGGCAGACGGTACACCACCACCTGGTCTGGGACGGTCTCCGTCTGCCACTCCTCCGCCGTCTTCCTCTCTCTGTCTATCATTTCCTGGTTCACGTAATCGGCTTCCACATCCGCGCGGTGTTCCGTCCGGTGCTTGAGATTAGCGTCGACGGCGACGTTGCCAGTGTTGAGGTGAAGGCTGGTGTCCGCGTTGTTCCCAACTGCCACCACCGTGACGAATCCTCGCGGCCGCGGAACCGGTTGGGTCGCGGCCCGCGAAGCATGGCGCGTTGAACCGGACTTGTCGGCATCGTCCTTCTCCACCTCCACCACCGTCACGAACTGCCCGTGTTCCCGCACCTCCGTCGTCCGTATTCGTGGCACCTGTTCGTAAGGGAAATCAATCAGATGCATCTGCGTACTGTCGTCCGGACCCGCGTCGCGTCCGACCCACATGCCTGAGTGGCTGATTCTCAACCCATGGTCCACGCTGGAGTGTGACCTAGCGTGACCTGACCCCCCTCTACCCGGCATCCTGGCACTCGGGCACACAGGGCCCGGTCATACCCAGTGTCGGACTGGGGTTAGTGTGACCAAGTCCGCTTAACTGACAATCCTGGTTACACCGTCCACGCTTCTCATGTACAAGTCCAATGAGATGAATTATGAAAGCCAATGCACTTCTATTTTGCTTCTTAAACCAAATGACACACACACACAATTAGAGGTTCAATGTTAACACGTGTTCAATTGGAGGGTTAACACGCTGATTTTCAATAGAATTGAACCCACTGTTCGCCCACTAAACTGATTTTTGTAAACACACGCGCAGGTTCACAGGAAGGGTTGGCCGCACCAGCTGAGGTTTAGCTGGTGGCCGAAGCACCAGCTGTCATGAACAGGTGTGGAGCAGATGGTGGAGGCGCCTAGAAGGCGGCGCTCTGGAGCTGGGACACCCGCCTCACGACTCTGCACACACCTGCAACGCAAACATGGCCAGACATCAACACACCTGCAACATAAACACGGCCAGACATCAACACACCTGTAACATAAACACGGACAGACATCAACACACCTGCAACACAAACATGGCCAGACATGAACACACCTGTAACACAAACACGGCCAGACATCAACACACCTGCAACATAAACACGGCCAGACATCAACACACCTGTAACATAAACACGGCCAGACATCAACACACCTGCAACACAAACACGGTCAGACATCAACACACCTGCAACACAAACACGGCCAGACATGAACACACCTGCAACACAAACATGGCCAGACATGAACACACCTGTAACACAAACACGGCCAGACATCAACACACCTGCAACATAAACACGGCCAGACATCAACACACCTGTAACATAAACACGGCCAGACATCAACACACCTGCAACACAAACACGGTCAGACATCAACACACCTGCAACACAAACATGGCCAGACATCAACACACCTGCAACACAAACACGGCCAGACATCAACACACCTGCAACACAAACATGGCCAGACATCAACACACCTGCAACACAAACACGGCCAGACATCAACACACCTGCAAAATAAACACGACCAGACATCAACATATCTGCAACACAAAATGAACTTTGCTAATAAACTATGAATTTAATAAGTAGACTTATCTACTTATTTGATAAGTAGATAAGTAACACAATAAAATACCTTAATAAACTTAGAAGATTCAATACATTATATATATATCAAATCATACAATCATCAATCCATCATAAATGTCTATATGATAATACATTTATAGATAATAATATATAAGAACGTAAAATTACGTTTATTTTAGAGAAATTGTCAGCTTTTCCGAATTAAAAAAATTTTACGGTCCGTTTCATGCCAGCCACAACAGTCCACAGAACCAAGCTAACTACCAATACCCATTACAGCTTATGGCTAGCTCTTCTTGCACCCATGGCTGGCCTCCCTCCCTGGCCCCACGACCTGAGCCAACCACCACAGTGAGTCAAACTAACTTCTTGGGGGGTAGGAATAGCCTAAGCTACTCTATCCCTTTGAGATGTATTTCTTTCTTATCTCAATAAACATACTTGAACTTGAACTAACTTCTTGTTGTCTTAGATTCAGCTACTCGGAACAAGTTCCAAGTAGCACGGGCTATGGTGAGCCCGTAACTCTAACCCATAACTTAGTTTAAGTTAATCTAATCACGGGAAGACGAGCATGAGATCTCTCAAGATAAGATGATTTTTGCTTTACCAGAATGAAGTGGTTTCCTACAGTCAGTGAAAGCGTCTTAATCTTAGTTAAAGCCTCCCCCTAGGGTAGGCTAGGCCAGCGACAGACCTTTCCCCAGGATGCTACCCCACAACTGTTGCCTAACTCCTGGATACCTATTAACTGCTTGGTGAATAGATGCACCAGGTGAATGAATGAAAACAGTGCCCAAACGTCTCGTCGTCCTGCCCTGGGATAGAACCCGGGACCATAGGATGTGTGGTCTACAGGTCACGCGACACCACAACTTGTTTCAAGTATCTTTATAATTCTACAACAGTGTTATGAACGAGACGCTACACGAAAACCAGACTCACACTTTTAAGTCCGGCGGTTACTCAGAGAGAGAGAGAGAGAGAGAGAGAGAGAGAGAGAGAGAGAGAGAGAGAGAGAGAGAGGGGGGGGGCAAGGTCGGGGCGAGCAAGGGGGGAAGGGAGGAGGCGACAACAGCCATCAGTTGCACGCAACACCGTTGTTTTAGGGGTGATCGGGTTGCATGACCACAGGTGCCAGTAGTGCCATAAGGAGGCCCCCAGACCAGAGGCACCGCCACGCCTTGGGGACCTTGGGAAAAGGGGTACAAATAGTGCCTAGATTGTCCCGTTTTGGGAGTCAAGAGATTCAGACGAAGAAGGAAAACATTTGAAAATTGGGAAGTGCGAATTATGACAGCAGGCGGGCTGTCCGCCTTGCTGGCACGATGTGTGTGTGTGTTTACTAGTTGTGTTTTTGCGGGGGTTGAGCTTTGCTCTTTCGGCCCGCCTCTCAACTGTCAATCAACTGTTTACTATTTTTTTTTCCCCACATCACACACACACACCCCAGGAAGCAGCCCGTGACAGCTGACTAACTCCCAGGTACCTGTTTACTGCTAGGTAACAGGGGCACTTAGGGTGAAAGAAACTTTGCCCATTTGTTTCTGCCTCGTGCGGGAATCGAACCCGCGCCACAGAATTACGAGTCCTGCGCGCTATCCACCAGGCTACGAGGCCCCCCTGTGTGTGTGTGTGTGTGTGTGTGTGTGTGTGTGTGTGTGTGTGTGTGTGTGTGTGTGTGTGTGTATGTGAGGTTCCTATAGACCAGAGGCTAGATTCATGAAACAGTTACGCAAGTACTTACGAACGTGTTCATCTTCCCTCAATCTTTGACGCCTTTGATTACATTTATTAAACACTTTACAAGCATGAAAACATCCCAATCAACTGTTGTCACTGCTATAAACAGCCTCCTGGTGCTTCGCCGCTCGTTAACTGTTTAATAATTGTAAACAAAGTCACCAAAGATTGAGGAAAGATGTATAGTTTCGTAAGTGCTTGCGTAACTGCTTCGTGAATCAGACTCCAGACGTCCACCTCCCGCCACTCCCAAATCTTCTCCCACACTCCCCACTATCTACAACCACCCCCACATAACCTCCCCCTCTACACAAGCGCCTAGACACAGCCCCACTCAGCCCTCTCCCCCCCACCCCCTACAACCCCCCCCCCAACAACCCCGCCCCACAAAAACGGCAACAAAACCCTGAGTGGCAACCGAGCCAAAGCAATAATAATCAAGAAAAAAAAAACACGAAAAAATACAAAACACGAAAAACAACAACACAAAAAAAACAGAAAACCTATACCAGAAACAACACAAAAAAAACAAGCAGAAAACCTACACCAAACCAACAAAAAAAACACAACCATAAAAAAAAAAACGAAAAACTGGAAAAAAAAAACACAAAACACGAAGGAAAAAAATTACAGCAAAGGAGAAAATGTAATCCACCCCACGAGACAACATTTGATCAGGATACCTGATCAACCAGGCTGTGACTCGTACGTCAGGCTGCGAGCAGCCGCGTCCAACAGCCTGGTTGATCAGTCCGGCAACCAGGAGGCCTGGTCGACGACCGGGCCGCGGGGACGCTAAGCCCCGGAAGCACCTCAAGATAACCTCAAGGTAAGGAGACTCTTGACGACAGCGGCCAGTGTGTGGGTGTCAATAGACCTGGGTAAATACTGGTTCGGTAACAGGGTTGTTGATTTGTGGAACCAATTACCGCGTAACGTGGTGGAGGTGGGGGTCCCTTGATTGTTTCAAGCGCGGGTTGAACATGTATATGAGTGGGATTGGGTGATTATAGATAGGAGCTGCCTCGTATGGGTCAATAGGCCTTCTGCAGTTACCTTTGTTCTTATATTCTTAATACTAGTTATCACAATGAAGAGAAAGGGACGGGGGGGCTGCTATGGAAGTAGCCCCCGTCTACCTCTTCCTCAGGTTTTCCCCAACGTCAAGAAAGTGTGGTACTATAGTGTGCCTTTAGCCTCAACCTACCCCGAGGGGCCCCAGAATAGAAAACGGGACAGTATGTCAGTCAGTACGACTGATTTTTGGCTTTAGAGGGGGGGGGGGAACTATACGTCAAAATGCGACGTTCTATTAGGAGGACGGGTTGGTGGGGGGGGGGGAAATGGAGATGGTGGGGTCATGTCGAAGGGGTGAAGAAGCATTTTATTACCTCCCCCCCCCCTCCCCCTTTGTAGGAGGGAAGAAGATTGAGAGGTACAAGTGAAGGGAAAAACTCCCGAAACGGGGAAATACAGAACAAGATGTCTGTCAATCTTCCATCAACTGCGGTACAGAAACCTCAGATTTTGGGGCCCAATCGTATCTACATTTGATGCTGTGTATGGGGGCTATATCCACCTCTTCATAGGGCATTCCATTTATCCACTATTTTGACACTACATAAAAAACTTTCGAATGTTTTTGTGGTTAATTTGGGGACTTCGTTGTCACGTGTGTGTTTCCCTTTGTCCGTGTTCCAGCCATTTTAAATAGCCTGTAATAGTGTGTCCTGATTTCGGACTATTTTGTATGTGGTAATCATTTCTCCTATGGCTATTCTTTTCCAGTGATATGAGGGTTATTGCCTTTGCCTGTCTCTCAGAGCTATGACAGAATGATAGAGAGAGAGAGAGAGAGAGAGAGAGAGAGAGAGAGAGAGAGAGAGAGAGAGAGAGAGAGAGAGAGAGAGAGAGAGAGAGAGAGAGAGAGAGAGAGAGAGAGAGAGAGAGAAAGAAAAAGAGAGAGAGAGAGAGAGAGAGAGAGAGAGACAGAGAGAAAGAGAAAGAAAGAAAAAGAGAGAGAGAGAGAGAGAGAGAGAGACAGAGAGAGAGAGAATCACATTATATTTACGGCATAATCTGGCTATTTGGAATAGCCATAATCATGGTTTAAGTTTGAGGAAAATGCAACACTGTTTGACTAAAGAATACGCTATTTGTCAAATATACATACTGCTCTTAGAAGATTCCTCCCTTTTAAGACCCACAAGACAGCATAAGCTTAATGGTTGGTAAGTGTTAATCTTCTTGTTTGAGAAGCTGTTCACTTGAGACAGTTTAAGCAAGTCCCAGCTGTGTCTGGGTCTACAAGTGACAGGAAGAACAACCAAGCGGGTTTTCTGCCTATTGGGGAGTGTTGTACATGCTGCTGTGGCGGCGTGTCCACTCACAGGACGAGAGACGCTGCCCCCAATGAACGCGCCCTTTAGGGGGAACTAAAACAAAATACAATAGAGTACTGGTTGCGTAAATGATGACTCTTGGCTCTGGCGTCAAGGGGCAATATCTGGCCGTGGCGTCACTGGTCTGAAATCTCAACGATGCAGAGTGAAGCGTGTTCTAGGGGGGAGAGGCTTTTTGT